AGCCTTCCTGTGATGTCTAGAAAGTTTCATTACCAGTGATAATTCAGCTAACAAACATCTGACCCAGATCAGTTTATGCAGCTATTTGGTCCTCTCTTAACTTTAAAAATAAATCCTCAAGCCCCAGTTGGATAAGCTTGCATGGCAAGGGAGATTTAATCCATACCAAGATTTTGGTCAGATATTTTTCAAACACTGGCATAAATTTTTAATTTGGACTTTGATATCCAAACAGGCCCAGCTGTAGTCCTCCTGGGGATCCTTCCAGAGGCTTGGACTTTGAACAGGCTCTGCAGCAAACAGCAGAGACTACTGAAAATTCTGACAGCTGGTGCTGAACTACCGAGCACTACAATAAACTGGAAATCAACACATGCTGCCACTTGGAGGGACTGTTTAAAAAGAACTTCTCAAAGGACAACAAATGGAAATACATAGAGGCAGGAAATACTGGTGTATTTTTGTCTCCATCTGGGAAATATTCTAGGAATGTTCTCAGTAACACTGGATTAACACCTTGAAATGAGAAAAGCAACTAAACACAACTGGGTATGGTTTCATTATTTGCTTCATTCTGTTTTGATTTCCCCTTCACATTGCATATACTATGTACCCTTTTCTTCTAGATGTGGCCCTAGATAACCATATGTTAACCGTTTGGATGCTGACTAATAAGAGAATCTAGAAACTGATTCTTCTTTTCCTATAGCAAATCTAAATTTTCTCAAGTCTTCCAAAATGTCACTTCATTGCAGGTTGTGGCCAGCTGCTCTTTTGTGAGAGCAGCAAGTCAAGAACTTGTAACATCTAAAAGACATTTTCCTACTGCTTCAGGTCCAATACCCATCAGAAGTGTCAGGCTTTGATATGCTAATATCTGATTTTACCAGCCCAAATTAATGCTACAGACACAATCCTTGCACAGTCATTATGGTAAGTTCAGCACAACCTAGCTGATTTTAAGGTTTCACTAGAAAGCTGCACTTTGGATAAATGGGAAGATCAATATAATTTCACCCTGATTAATTAAGAATGTTTTAGCCACTTGGGCTTGAAGCAGGAAAATTTGACATTTCTATGGCTGCCTAAAATTGAACCTCTCTGGATAAGTATATGCTTATCATTCTCTGTCACTTTTAGAAGATGGCAGACTCTGCTTCCTTTATCAAGGTCCTAATGAACGAATATCCTTTGGATTGATTGTCATGTTTCATTCCTTCCAAAACAAAAATGTGTTTTCCTAATGGTGAATTTATAATCCACCATGGAAACATCACATGTCAGTGTGAATACAGCAAGGCATATCATAAGACAGAATGGAAATATGCTAGGAAAATTATCTCAGAGGGTTGTTGACCATCTTTTTTTAAATGGTTGGCTTTAATCAACCATTACAACATGTGTTGTATTTCTTGAACACCAAATTCACTGAAAAAAAAAGTAAAATTAAAGATGTCAAATATAAAAAAAAATATTTTACAAATAGGCAGCCAGATGGGGGAAGAGTACTTGGGTTTTAAAGACTCTGGCAATAATGAAAGGAACTAGAATTGCTGGAAAATTAAGTTCTTGTTGCCACTGTTTAATAGATGATACACTGTCAGCTTCTCCAGCAAAAAGACAGTATATATCATTCTGAGAAGGGACATCATTTGCTGCATAGGCCTTCTTGCTAAAATTATTGTGGTCTGCTTTTGTGGTATGAATCTCCAGATGCTGGACTGTGTTCATCAGCTCACTTCTGAAATAACAAGATATTTTGAAAACTTTAGGTTTGAACTTACATGAAGAGCAAAAGGTTTCCCTACCTGTGACAGTGCATTGATTGCCTGTATTTTTGATACTTGAGTTGGAAAACCAGACAGCCTCAAAACAGTCTGAATCATTCGAGTTTAAACACCACTTACTAAGCTCACCAACTACATTTCATTGAAGGTCTTGATTTTTCCCATGAATCTACAGTGAAAAGAAAAAATGTCAGGTCTACGTAACATAGGAAATTCCCTTGAAACAAGCCAAAGTTCTTCAAAATCTTGTAATGTGAAGAGGGCCAAGAAACTACTGTAAATGGTAATCAGGCTCTGCAAAGTGGCTGACTTTATGCAAAGCAGGCAAGTGCAGTCAAAACACTTACAGCAATCAATTGAAGTTGTTGGGTAAAGTTTTTTCCATGTCCCATAAATTATTGAACAGTTAATTTCGTCTTTGTGCCTGCAAGACATTCTAGCTTTAGGATGACAGCTTTATCCATTAAAGGGAGTGTGGTGACAGCAGTACAGAGAGTGCTGAGAATGCAGGGAGAGAAGGCCCATTCTCAGCTGCATTACCACTGAACAATGCTGGGATACGTCAACATCTTAATCAATATGCGAGAGTCAATTAATGGGGAAGCACACGGCTTAAGAAGGATCTCATTATTAAGTTCATGTTTAGTCCACCAAATAGATGAAATCAATATAAAGCTGAGTATCATATAGTAAATACAGAACCATCCACTCTTACCCAGACTTTCTTCCTTCATTATTCCTTCCTGGCCAGATTCACACAGTCCTCTTCTGTCTTTCATACTACAAGGGCAGATAGTGAGGCAGACAGCAAAACTGACAGAAGCTGAACAGATTGGAAAGGACCAAATTTTGTCTTCAGAGCCAAGGAGAAAGCCCCTCTGTAGCTCAAAATTAATCCCTTTGAAAGGAAAGGTGGAATCCCTCAGAAGCCTGTGTTTCTGTTTTTCTCTCTGCTGGAGGTTTCATCAAATCAATGCTCTTACTGAGTCCTGGAAATGCAAGCAGTAGAGAGAACTGGTTTTTTTACAGAAGGGACCTAGGATGCTATCTGGGTGGGTCACTGTGTAGATTAATATTCTGGGCAGTTCCTTGGTTTTGAAAAAGAGATCAGGATGCATGAATGGAAGCAAGCATATACATGGTTGACTTAATACATTTATTGTAGAAATTACTTCAGATATTTTATCTGCTCCCATGCTTGTTGATTTGGGTTTTTTGGGTAGAAAAGTAAATGGAGCTGAATCAGTACTTCTTGAAGCACAGCATGAATATGTGATGTATCTGGTTTCACCAATAACCAGGCATTTTTTGTTCATTTTTTGGCCAGTTGTGGTAGTTCAATTTTAAATGGAAAGGTCAGAAGGTGAATGCAGTGACTGAATATCAGGAATTGACTATTTTACTTGCTTGATTTACAGTGGAAGTACTCCTGTCTTTATGTCCTTGAAGATTCAGAAATGTATGGGGAGAAAAAAAGAGAATTAAGAGAGGTGGCTTCTATGAAGTAGTGTGAAAAGAATTAATAGTGTATTCTGATTAGACAGTACAAAAGACTGTGAATGGTAGGTGCTGGTTACACCAAGGTAAAGATGTAAGTTTCAAAAAAAGAACAAGGTCTTTAGAGAGGACATTATGGACCTTCTCTATAATCAGCTGTAATACTAGGAGTCATTTCCATGGCACAGGTTGGGCTAGCTACTTAGTCTTCAGAATAATCTTTCGATGTGACTGTATTCTCAGTGAGATCCCTGCAGCGCAGAGTAGAAAGCCTTAGTCTCTCCATAGGGAGACCTCAGCCTTGGGAGTGCCCCTGAATTTAGACTTAGATTTTTAAATCCCTTGTCCTGGGTGGCAGAGGAAAGGAGAAAATATGAATGGCGTTGTCAGGGAGAAAACTCCACTTGGTGTCTGGCATCAGGAGGAAAACAGCTGACTAACTCTGCTTCACGTTAATTGACATTTAAGGAAAAAAGTAAGAACCACCCACGGAAGTGATTTCTTTGAGAGAAGCTGCTGGGAGCTTCCTCTATGCCGGAGACAGGCCAATAGCTGGCCAGTTCTGAGAACTGACAACATTTTGCACCACTGAAAATTAGATCCGCCTCTGTGACTACCATCTTTTAAAAACCCAAGCCCAGAAATCTCTTTTCTCTTTGTTTCCAGCCTCAGAAGGTATCAGGGCTCAGGTGAGGCCGGCCCCGCTCCCCCGCAGCCTGTGCGGCCTGGAGGAGGCCGGGCCGGGCCCCAGCGGCTCCCGGGCAGGGGATGGAGGCTGTGGGGAGCCTGGGGCCAGGGCCAGAGCACAGCTGCTGACATCTTGCCAACAGTGTTTTGCCCTTCTCCTAATCCATATCTCACATGGAAAAATGAGTAAGTACCCCAGTGATTTTAGCCAGCACTAAAACTCACCACACTAACTCAGCCACAGTACAGCCTTAGTGTATACCATGACAGAAGCCGGTGTGGATTGATCAGAAGGTTCAAGAAAAGAGTCTGAGAACATTCTGTTTCCACCTGTGCTGAGTGGGAAACCTGTTCTGGTGTGTTTAGGATGTGCATATAGCTGGCAGTTAATGTGCTCTTCCTCCTGTTTTTGTTACCGAATAGGTAATTAGAAGTGTAACACAACATGTTCAGGATGGAAAAGGTGTGTCCTAGACATTTGAAAAGCAAATAAAAATAGCATGATGTCAGTCACTGCATGCAACTTTCTCACCTTTGTCTTTATCAGAGAAAAAAATGTGAGAAAAAATTGGCAGTGTAAAGGGATACTGAAAGCATGACATATTTGTCTGTTAAGTATAAATATGAACAGCTATGGAGATCTGGTGCTATGGTGCTAGGTTTTAACTCCAGTAACATTCATCTAGTGCCAGGAAACACTAGATTTAGTACCTGAGGGATTGCAGTCTCAAATACCTTCTACAATTTGTTTTAATATGTTGCCAAGAATTTAAATTGGTAAAAGCTGGGGACTGACAAAAACTTGATCCCCAAGAGTTTTTCTGGCACAGGTTTATCAGGGAATATGGTGCCATTATTTTTATTATAATTATTTTTTTTTTGTGGTGGTTGGGAACTCATTTATAACTCTGTGACTTCTACTCCCAAATGTATTTTTAAAAATCTTAAATAAACAAAGGATTTTATTTTGTTGGTGGCGTTAGGAGCTGTCATTCATTTTATATACAATATGCCTACTTGGATTGTAGTCATTTTAGCATATTTCTTGAAAGATCAAGAGCAGGCAACAAAGAAAAAAAAAATACTGTGAGGTACACATTCCATCCAAACCACTACCACCCATCTGGTGCCTTTTGGTGCCTTTCTGTTCCAGTGAGGGATGAACTTACAATGTCTAGTAAAAATAGGCAACTCTTAGGCCCAGTCCTGCTTTCACTGATGTCAGCAACCAGCATCTGTTTTGCAATAAATATGTAATGGGAGCAAGCATTTCACAGGGAAATATGGGCTTGCAAAGGAGAACATGGGCTTCTTTTGGAGACAGACATCTAACAAAATGATATTTAGCCTTTATTGGACTGATTAACCTTTTTAGCTTCCCACAAGATAGAAGGTCCCTGTGATGTTTGAATGAAAAGCAAAGCCAAGAAACTCATACTGCAGTTATGACAGAAGGACCCAAACTAGTTGATGTAAAATCTAGATGAATTTTGTAACATTGCACAGGATTGCAAAGGGAGATCTAATTTGAATGTGAATTGTGTTGTCTGTTTAGCAGTCCAAGAGAAACTTCTTGCCTTGGAGTGGAGACTGTCTTAGTGCTGCTCTGTGAAGGTGAGGAACACCTTCACTCTTGAGCCTCTGATGTTTATGCAACTGACCTGCAAACCCTTTACACATATCAAACAGGAAACTACAAATAAAGCCTCTGTCAAATAGATTGAGTCACTTACTCAAGGTAATACAGCAAATAAATAGAACAGAAAATAAAATCAAAGAAGTTTCTGGTTCCCAGATTTATGCTCATTCCATCAGGTCAGGTTGTAGCCAACAACAGCACATTGAAAACGCAGAAGTAATATATACAATAGTATTGTTATGGTTCCTATAGCTCTAACATGCCATAACCAGAACTCCCTAAATATACTTTCAAGTTCACTAAGTAACACTATATAGGGTTTGGTGGTTTTTGGTAAAAAGAATTTGTCATCTTGTCCCTTGAACAGACATAGCATAGCTTGCATGCCCAGAATGCCTCCAATTTTGTTAGATCTCTTGGGACTTGTACTCTTTCTGATACCTGTGTTATGGATAAGCTATTCACCAGATTATTTCTTCCCTGTAGCTCAAAGTACAAGATAAAATTTCTTCCACCTGTTGGGTAAAAAAAAATAAATATTGTATAGAAGCTATGTTTTGGTCTTCTCTTGAATTTTGCTAATAAAAGCACAAGCACAATAGTTTTCTTATTAAAAAAAATTATTGCTGAGGTTTATAGTATGCCTTTACCTTGAAGGAGCACAAAACACTTTTCAAATTGCAGCTTGGACCTGCCAAGCTTCTGTGCCCTCACAGCGTCCCATTGACTTGAATGATGTTCCCAACACATAAAGATTTCTCCATATGGATCCACTTGCAGATCTGGCCCTCAAGGCACAATTTGTCCCTGTGCCAAGAGAATAAAAGCACTTTGAAGAAAGGAAATTTTATACATTTCTGGTCAGAGTTTCCACCTGGGCTTTGTGCCTTATGGAAGAACAGGGCTTGTGAGTTTCTAAAAGTGATGGGTCTTCTAGGATCTGCTGAAGAGACCTGTACTAGAGCCCCATTCCTTTTTGGCCCCAATACAGCACTGATTTCTAAGTAGCCATATTGCCTTTTCTGTATAATTCTGCACATGAAATCTATCTATCCTGCATGCTGCTGTCATCACCTGTGGGAGTATGCAAACCCACCTCCTGCACTTTCCATCCCTGGCATTGAGGAGGATGGGATTATTCCCCCTGCTCAAGGGGACGCTGGCAGTGCTAGGGATGACAGTACTGCAACTGAGAGTCTATTCTCAAAGGAAATATTCCTCAACAGATGACTGAGCATAATCTCAGCAAAGGTCCCTGAGCTTTGAACTGAGTGATGGGGAGGACACAAGTGCAGCATCAGTACCTTACCCATTCTACTTCCCTTAGGTGTAACTTATCAATGGGTTTCTCCTGCTCTCCAAAAGCAGAAATAAATCCCAAGTACTTTATAAACAGTGTTCAGTCTGTATGATGCCCTGTAGAAGCCACCCATTGACATCACCCATTGACAGTGTGATTTGATAAGTAATGTCCCTCATTTCTGTCATGGGTGGAATTTAGCTGGCTGAACATCCAGATTAGGATCTAATCATTAACAAATTGCATAAAATATCTGAAGACTACAAGGCCGAACATTTTCACTTTAAGCTAACTTCCAACTACAGCCCACATAAAAGCCCCAGATGTTTGTTCATTGCTTCCTCTGTGTAAAGGTCATGCATAGCCATTAGTATATGTAATTGTTCATGCACTACATATCTAAGTGCATAAACTGCAAAAACAGTTTCCAGCAGTCTTCTACACTGACAATTTCTGTTGCAGGTAGGAAGCAGATAGATCCACCTTATAATTTGCAGGCCTGAAGAGATCAACAGAGGTAAGAACCATGCCTTTTTAGCATGGAAGGGTTAAAATCTTAACAAGCTACTTGCAAATAAGCAACGCAGAGAACAAATTCTTAAATTTGGACTTCTGAAAATTGCTTGCAGGTGTGATATAGCACAGCTTGTCCCACACTAAACTTACAGTAAATTTATGTTAACTTGCACAGCCATTCAGTTTAGTAAAAACATTTAACAAACATTTTCACACTGTTTTAGAAATGTCAATATATGATTTGTAATGGGAAAAGTAAAATACTTTAAACAGGTAAAATACTCTATCAAAACAAATGCATAAAAGTGTATTATTTTAGACTACATTAGTGCAAGAAACATGTGCATCCACTAAAATCCCCTGTTCAGCCTTTCTACTTGAAGCATGTGTTCATTAATCGCTTGAATGTTCCACATTGTCTTAACTAGCTAGGAGCATCCTAGCTGAATATGCTCCCCACAATCAACTCAGATCAATGCGGTGGTAGGTCTCCTTTCATCCCTAGTCCAACAACCCCCCTCCAACAACAGAGGTCCTTTGCAGGCACAGAGGCCTGATTTATGTTTAATGCAGCAGTGTTTTTACTGCTTTTGGCACAAGATGTTTGAAAGAGGTGAAAAAGACACACAGGCAAAAGTCTGTTTAGAAAACAATTCCAACATAAGCACCATATGCCTTCAACTCATAGGCTCATTTCCAGGCAAGTCACCACAGCAAGCACAATTACCCCAGTTTTTAACTTTTTCTTCCTTAAGAAGTGGATAGGGTGTGGGGAAGGGTAAGGGGAGTAAGTGAGTAGAGAAGTGTTGTTTCCTTCCTATAGGATTTTTTATTGATTTCGGATTTTATTTTGTTGGTTTGGGGTTGGTTTTTTTGTTTGTTTTTTGTTTTTCTTTCCTTCTGCTGGTTTACTACCTTGTATCTATCTACCCCTCAGGAGTTTAAAACCCTCAAGTAAGTATAATTAGGCTTTTAGTGTGTATTTTTTAATTTATTTTTTGTGAGTGTGTGTGTGTGTGCGCGCACGCGCGCGTGTGCATGCACACCTACTTTTGAAGTAGTCAAAATCTCATGCAAGAAGGAGCAGGCTTTTATGGACACTGGTCCATTGGTAGGGATGGCAGTTTACACCAGTAGGGACTATGCCTGTGTACTGTCCCATTCATTCCTAGAAGTGCAGACACCAAGCTCATGTTGCACATAATTTTCTTATTTGGTCAAATCTTTCGATACGTACAGGAACTATATTTATCTGGACTGAGAAAAGAAAGTCCACATTGGTAGAATAAAGGTACTGGCTACAGCAGGAAAAACAGAAAAAAAACAGCGTTGTTGCCCCTTGGTCTGTGTTATTGGTGATCAGAATAAACCCCTTAATTAACTTAACCAAAATGAGTTTGAGAAGACCATGTCAGGGCACAAGGGAGATGTGACTTTACACAAGAGCGTTATCACTATCTCTACAAGAATTGAAAAGTTAAAGTCTTCCCAACATTCAAGATTGAAGTTGTTTTTATTTTTCCAGTAATTCAAAGTCCAGTGATGTCTCCAAGTTTAACAGGGAGCAAAGAGAGATCATCCTTGTCGTACACAACAAGAGAAGGGCGCTGCTTAACCATAAGCAGTAGTGCATTATCATCAGACACCTGGAAAAAAACAAGATTTAAAATTTAAACAGCATAGTATCTACAGCTACAGACAATCCATTCCTCTAGCACAAGATGTATATCACTATTATTTGATCAGTAATGGCTGAAAGAGCTCGGTTTCACTTAAATTATTCAATGAATAATAAAACATTTTCGTGATCCAGTCAAAGTATAGAAAAATATATTCACTGAATATTTTTTGCATTGAATCTCAAAAAATGATTTGCAAATAAATTTTGAGGTTTCTTGGCCAGTTCCATTGCATTTAGGTGTAGGTTCTCCCAGGGTACCCATGCTTTTACAAGTGTGCCTTCCTAGGGTGAAGGAATAACCACCTCTGGGAACATGTGGATCCATGTTAAGCTTGCTGCTTATCTGCAGAAATAAACAAAATTTACGTTAGGGGTGAACGCGTCTGTAACAGGAAAAGCCTCCTGTATTCCCTCTGTCATGATCTGTACTTGGAAAATATAAAATTCTACTCCAGGTCTTAGTAAGGAACATATCCTTCCTTTTTTTTTTTTTTTTTTTTTTAAACAAGAAGTAGAAAAACGCAAGGAAATTCCTACACAACAGGGGTGGAGAGGAGGAGGAGGATGTATGAAACTGAAAACCCCAGAAGTTAATACCAGTGACATCATCTGTCCAAAGCTCCAAGACACTTTACAAACATCAGCTGACATGTCTGTCACTGAGGAGAGCATCATTAGCAGGAATTTAGCTCAGGATTAACAGCATGCTGGGATGTTAGTTAGCACATTCACAACCATGGCTGCCACACCAGTCAAGGAGTTTCTTGCTCTCACAGTGTCATCCTCCTTGGACACCCTCCTCCAAAGTCCTACCTGACAGCACACAATCTTAAAAAAGGATGAAATTAGGTTTGTTTTAAAGATGGGATTTATTTTGTAAAAAAGGCAATGATCCTTTTGTTCAGTACTTCCTTTGTTTTGGTGCAACAGAGATGTCAGCCAAGGGAAAAACAAGATTATCCCAAGACAAGTAAATTCCACTAGTGTGGGATGATGACTGTGCCAGAGTGCTCTGTTACACCAGCAACTATAAGGGGAAAATATTTGTGACAATAACATTGTGAATCCAGAGAAGAGAGGAGGCATCGGAGGAAAAAATTGTAGAAGAGAATTAGTTAGGGGTCAGGGACCGGGATCATGAATGGCAGGGTGGAACCACAGAAGGAAACACATCTGGGAAAGAGATCTTTTCTGGGGTTCTTTGGTTTGGTTTTTTTTGTTTTGGGAGGGTTTTGTGGGTTGGTTTTGGTTTCGGCTTTTTTTTGGTGGGGGGGGTTGGCTTTTTGTAGGGTTGGTTTTTTTCATTTTTATCTTTACATTTTAAATATTGGGGTTTTTTTCCTTTCCTTTGTTTTTCTGGAAACTGGAGATGGATAACTCCAGTGGACTCTTAGCCTGCCTTGGCTTTTACAGCCTCTGGCCCTGTTTTGCCCCATCTGCCCTTCAGCCACATTTCGGTCTGTATCTGGACAATACTTTGTGTAGGTTCATGAAATCCTATCAATCCACTCTTTTATTTTCAAAGTATCAGGCTAGAAATCTGTCTGCCCCATTGAGTACAAATTCATATGTCCTCTTGCCTCCTCACCCTTTTCTTCTTTCTCTTTTTTTTTTCCCTGGCAATTAAAAAAAGTAAAATCTAAGACCAAACAAATCAATGTTTACGGATTTGTAATAAGTTTCTTTCTATTTATTTATTTATTTATTTCCTCTTCAGTCACTAAAGAAGCAGCAGCAACTTGCAAGGAGCAGTTGTTGCCAGAGGGTGAATCATAGCTATATTGATTTGATTATGTAAAAGCTCAGAGGAACCTAAAGCCAGATACAGAAATATCTCATAGTCCAAATCCTGTGGGACACACACTAGTAAAAAAGCAATCTTTATATTGTTCCTGATAAAAGCATCATTAGTTTCCTCACAGTGAAACCATTTCTCTGCTGATACAGTATATGGTTTGCCTTTTCTCTCGAATCCACTCAGATATAATTAACACTCAGTTACGAGACTTCAGGTTTTCTCTGGAGTGTGCGCTTTGAGGCTGTTGAGAGCATGGGTGCACAATCCTGAGCATCTCTGAATTGCTCACTCACCCTCCTGCAGAGCAGGGGTCTGGCCTGCGGGGCATGGGATGTGCTGCACCTGAGTTTCAGCTCCCTCATTTGCACCCTCAATTGGCTGTTCGCTGGGTCTTAGAAGGCCCAGCACTGGCATCACTGCTCTGTCAGAAAATGTCTCTCAGTCCCCTCCAGGCCTTATACCGCAACAAAGGCACAAAATCACACAGACACACAGATAGGCTCATTCTCAGCTTGTCACAACAAAATGCTTGCATATGTGATTTTCTGCAGAGCAGCTCCTTGATGGTGGGCCAGAAAAAGTAGGGGCAGAGAGTTTAAACTAAAACAACATGGAGAGCTAAGGATATACATTTTTACTTATGCTTCTATTAATGATGCATCTAATATCTGGGCAGACTGAAGCTGGGATAGGCAAATTCACCAATTCCAGGTCTTTCTGTGTATTGTGAAGGAAGAATACAACCCATCTTTTTGAAACCAATATTACTAGTTCATGCCTTCATTATAAAGATGCATTGTAAGTCAGTCTTCATTTACCCCTGGCTCTCTCTTTCTTATCAATTTCAGTCTTCTTTTGGCCCAACAAAAGGAAAATACCAATGAACTTTAACATTCCTTGATCAAATCTGCAGTGTAGGACTTGGCTGTAAGATACGGTGAAGTGTTACCATGATACTAAAGACAGATATGACACAGCCATGCTTCTTGCTAAAATACTATGTGCTTCAGAGAGGAAGCTTCATGTGGGTGAGAGAAGGCAAAGGACAGAAAGACTCATTTTAACGCTTGCACCTGTCTTCTCTTCAAATCAATATGAAGACTCCTCAAGGAAACTGTAAGACATCTGGGAGTTTTGCTGACAACTCTGAAGGATTCATACACATACAATTTGAAACAATGCCAGAAAACTCAAAATGTCTAAATGTGATGATTTGGGGGGATCATTTTACCTAGTTGCAAAAGCCTTTGCAACTGATATTCCAGTATCACTCACATAAGAATGTTTCTGTCCCATACTCTTGAATTGCCAAACAATTTGGATTACTATAAATCAGGAAATTATCTTCTCTTTTGTCTGTCTCTCTCTCAGAGCTCATTTCATGTCTTTTTCCTTCTCAGAGCTGTTCCATTGGCTGCAATTCTGGCTAGTGTATCCCTTGAACTCTTCAGATAGCATCACATAGTTACATACAGGCTAAAGCACAACATTTAGGAGACTTGTAAAATCCAGCCTGCTGAGCACTTTGCATAACCAGTGCTTGAGAAGAAAGGCTGTTCACATAAATTATTTACTCAGCCTACCATTTGCAGTGATTTTTCATTATCAACACAGGAATAATTCCAGTGGTTTCAGGTATCTTCACCTGCTTCTGCAGTACCCACAAAGGTGGGGTGTGACTGTATGGTACATTAAGTGTAGGATAGCTAACTGTCTGCCTGATTGATTGGTTCAAGTAGGATGGATCACTGCTGTTCACAGCCATCTCTGTCTCTCATTGCAATGTGGTGCTTAATCCGAGAGTGCCACAAAATACTGTCCTCAGCAGTGAGAGCTGACACCACTTCAGGTCTCTCTGGTAGTGCATAGTCTCTGAATGTCTTTTAGCACAAAAGTGAAAACAAATCTCATTAAAAGAGATCTTCAATTCCTGGAGAAGCAAGTTATTCACCCATCTTTTACACATTAGCATAGGAAGTTTCTAATAAAGTAAGTGCATGATGATATGGTGTTTTTACGCCTGATACAGTTGAACCACATGAAATTAAGAATCTTGTTCTGACAAAACTATCGTCTTTGGTAGTTTTAATTGTAACTTAGAAGAAGATTTAACCTTTTGCATGACCTTTGCAATTTGAGTGGTCTGCTAGCATGGCCTACAGCATTACAAGTCTGTTCAAACCATCCATAGGTATTTGTCCCTTCTGTTCTCTCAGCATTCAAAAAAGGCGAAACTGACACCTCACTTTTGGTGAAGAGAAGTGCTCACCTTTGATGGACGATGTGATATGAACATATTTGTGCTAAAACAAAACCTAAGACTGGCTGGATCCACTCTTCTCTGAAGTCCTCAAAAACTTTGACCCAAAAGCAGCTGATACATTCAGAAACAAGGCACATAAGAAAACCTTATGCGAGAGAGACCAAAAAAGCCCAAATTATTTTATGCACAAATGCTGCAGTCTGGGAGCAGCTGACACAAAATTTTGTTTTTAATAGATTTACTGACTGAATACTTTTTAATTAGAAATGTTTTAATTAGAATTCACTTTCATACAGTATAAACCAAAAAGATAGAGTTCATCTTAATTTATCTAAAAATATAACATTTCTGTTTTAGAGGGAACTTGTGCTTTCCACTCACTTAAGTTATTATGATTGTCTTTCTTGTCTGTAGCAATCTGGGTCTTTCTTCTCTCAAAAACCAGGCATCAGTGTAAGCACCAAAAAAAACCTGTGACCAAAGCTACTGACACATATGAAGTTACAAAATGGCTAAATGTGTAAACTCAATTTGATAAGCATTGCGACTGAAAATGTGACAAACAGAATTGGTTAACTTCATATAAAAAAAATCCATATATTTTGGGTTTTAGTCTACATCTATTCATCAAGAAATCCTTATTTTACAAAAAGATGTTCTCACATTGAATAATGCTCAGTTCATTGGCTTATTCTCTGCAAGAATTAATAAACCCCTGAAAAATTGCTGTGCACAACAGCTTTAATAGCTCTGTCCGGCTGCTTCCCAGTCTCTTCCTCTGGAAAATAAAGCAAACTCTAACTATAAATCAAGGCCACTGAAATGAAGGCCAGTTGCACATCACAGAGAATGATTTTATAGGTGGAACGTGGGCTTGCTAATTTCTAGAATAAATTATTGTGCTTTATTGAAAGCAGTTCCATTTACACACTCTTAGTTGAAAAGACTTAAAAACAAAATCACAAGCCCAGTTATAGGCTAATTTTAACATGTCTCTTTTTTTTCCAGGCAGTTCTCAGTATAAAATGTTTAGCTGACAATGTGCCAGGAAATCTGTTTCATTAAAATAAACACCGATACACTTATTGTGAAGTTATCTCACTTATAATATCAATGATCTTTAATAGAGTTGTTTTATTACTGGAATAACATTTCTGTCTGACAAGTCTGGAGTCAATATTTAACAGATTTAGGTCAGAAATCGTATTTCGCAATAGGATTTTCAAAAACCTGGGAAGACTGAATTCTGACTGCAAACTCATAAAGTAGGTTTACAGATTACAAAATGAGCATTTTCATAAATATGCATGTCTCATAAATATTTGAGAAAAAAATGAAATGAGATCCAATATCTAAATGATTGTCTAATTAATAATTCTTTTGATAGGGTAGTCTTGAATACATATTAAACACGTGAGAAGAAAGAGAAAAAGCGAGAAAGAAGGAAACAAGGAAGAAGGGAAACAAGGAAGGAAACAAGGAAGGAGAGAAACAAGGAGAGAAACAGGAAGAGAAGGCAGGCAGGTGGGTGGGCAGCAGGGAGAGAGGGAGGGAGGCAGGAAGGAAGGCAGGAAGTGTGGAAGGAAGGAAGTGTGGAAGGAAGTGTGGAAGTGTGGAAAGAAGGAAGGAAGTGTGGAAGGAAGGAAGTGTGGAAGGAAGGAAGTGTGGGAGGAAGTGTGGAAGTGTGGAAAGAAGGAAGGAAGTGTGGAAGGAAGTGTGGAAGGAAGGAAGAGTGGAAGTGTGGAAGGAAGTGTGGAAGTGTGGAAGGCAGGCAGGAAGGCAGGAAGGAAGGCAGGAAGGAAGGCAGGAAGGAAGGAAGTGGCGGAAGGAAGGAAGTGGCGGAAGGAAGGAAGTGGCGGAAGGAAGGAAGTGGCGGAAGGAAGTGGCGGAAGGAAGTGGCGGAAGGAAGTGGCGGAAGGAAGTGGCGGAAGGAAGGAAGGAAGGAAGGAAGGAAGGAAGGAAGGAAGGAAGGAAGGAAGGAAGGAAGGAAGGCAGGAAGGCAGGCAGGAAGGCAGGCAGGAAGGAAGGAAGGAAGGAAGGAAGGAAGGAAGGAAGTGGCGGAAGGAAGGAAGGAAGGAAGTGGCGGAAGGAAGGAAGGAAGGAA